AACCATTTTCGGAAAACAAAAGTCCGAGATTGATTCGAACCAAAATAAATTGGTTCGAAACCAGAACTCTGAACAAGGAGGAACATAAATTAATTTTAATCGTGGGGAAAGATTAGAAACCTTGGATTAATTTTCCTGCACACTTAGCACAAAAATAGATTAAACTCTTTTGAATTATGGTTTAAAATCATCATCAAAATACAAAGAGAACCTAACAGTAAGCATATAGTAGCTAAATGTCTAAGAATATTATATATTTGACAAACAACGTTGTCTTCTTTTTTAGGTAATGGAATGTCTTGGGGCATTGCTATATGATTCCTTGATTTTGTTAACTTCTTCCTTGGAGGAATTTAAGATGGACAATCCGATAATGATTCAATAGTATCTTCAACAATTCCTATGTAAATTAACATAAAATTAAGTAATATGTTAGTAAATGGTATGCACCTACATAAATCCAAAAGTTATGGGAGGGAAAAGGAAAAAGAAATTATATAATCATATTGGCTATCAAAATATGGTTGACTGTCCATTTGGCTGTCAAAATATGGTTGACTGTTCATTTGGCTATCAAAGTAATCTTGACTATCCATTTTGTTCTAAAAGTAATCTTGACTGTTCATTTAACACAGTAATTTTATAATCAATTAATTAATTAAATTAATCATAATTTACTTAACAATTAAAAATGTCATTATGATTTAATTAATCATAAATTATAATCATTATATGTAATTATAATTTCTTATCAGTTAAACAATTTAATGAATTATAGTTTACTTAACAATTAAAGCATATAATCATAATTCTCTAATCAATCAATTAATTAAATAAAAAATCATTATTTATCATCCAAGTAAATAATGAAATCACAATTTTATAATCAATTAAGTTATCAAACATTGATGAGGGATGAGTTTATATGGTTACATCACCAATGACGTGTGCGGATCCACATCAGCAAGGGCTCGCAACGCTCACTTCCCACATCAGACATGTAATTCCTATTTCCTATTAATTGCTGCAATGGAATCAACATCGCCAGAAGCAATACTCAACATTATTCTCTTATATATTGCTAAGGGTGGCATTTACCCACTTCACTGGTAATGATACAAGCATGTTCTACTTCAACAGCATTCTTTTACACATGGCCAAACACGGCTACATTATCTACACAACATGGTTGGACGTTTTTGACAGTCATGTCCTCTGCAGCAATGTTTACTGTTACATATTTTGGCTCCCAACAATGGATAAAAAGCTTATTTTACTGTATGGTTCCCATCAATGGACAACGGGTTGATCTTATTATATCTACACAACTCCTAGTGATGGACAAAGGGCCAAATTTACTATCTCATTTAGCCTCCAACAATGGACAAAAGGCTAGGCATTTCTACATATCTTCATTTCATCGGTTCTCGGTAATGGACAACGGGTCAGATTTTTACATATTCTATCTCATTGGCTCCGGAAACGAGCAAAGTGTCAGCGCAACTCAGTACGATTAGCATGAGGCTGGTAACAGTTGCAACCCTACAATTAGATGGGATGGCTACTCTCCAGTGATAAAAATCCATCAAGTAGCGACCGGCAGTCCCTTAGTGGTCGCCTGTGCATGGTGGTGCGGTGCCCTGCAGCAACAACAACCAGGACCACCCTCTGACGGTGCCGATACAACAAGAAAGGCCAACGTTTGTCGGTGGTATTCCACCTTGTCATATCGGAGGCCATGGATGCGGCTGGCGTCCCTTTTCCATAAAGACAACTCCACCTTTCTCTATACATATTCATCGTTATGGCGGAATCTGGTTTAATGAGATTTACCCCTTCGCAACTTGATGGATTAGTGGGAGTGCTTTTCAGATTCCACATAGTTCACGCTCCAGCCATGGACAAAGCTAGCCATTATTGTCCCTCTAGCTATGGGAAGGCTATGCATAGCTGACCTCGCAATACATACATAACATGGTCAGAGGGCATGCACATTGTCACTCTTCTACGCAAAGGTACAAAATTACAAATCGTTAGTAATCCCGACTCATAACATATATTTTCTATGTCTTATGTGTTAATAGGTATCGTCGGCCAATGAAGCTTGGCTTCAAACAACAATATTGCAGTTGTTGATGACCACGCTCAAGATTTCAAAATAATGAAAGATTATTATTATTAAGTGTGAAAAATATAAAAGAAAAGGGAGTGGTCACTTGTCTAAATTATAAGGTGGGATAAGTCACCTTAAAACGGGTCTGCGTAGAGATCGAGATTCGGGGGTTCTGTTAGAAGTGAAGAAGGGTATATGCGCACCTCACAATCCCTCCGTTTAAACACGGTTGCATACTTTAACATTGGGATTTTAATTCAACTTATTCATTATGTTTTTGCTTAACTCTTAATAGGGAAACTTAAAAAAGAATAAACCAAATTGAAACATTTTTAAAATTTTTGGACTAAAATGGACTAAATCAAAGACATGCATTCACAATAAGCCAAGGTTTTTAAAATCAGACCGGACCGGCCGGTTGAACCAGTCGGACCGATACACAGTAATGAAAACAGCTTGATTCACATAAAAAAAACCGTTTGAGGTCAAAACCGGTCAAAAACCGATCAAAAACAGTTCAAAACTTGTCAAAACCGTTCAAAACCAGTCAAAACGGTTCAAACCAGTCAAAACGGTTCAAAATCGATCAAAACCGATGAAACCGGTAGAACCAAAAAAACCACCGGTTCAATTTCTCATGCAATTTTCTTTTTATTTTTCCAATTTCACCCTCACTATTCCTTTCTTTTACCGATTTTAACCTTTAATTTTAATGAAATTACAAAATTACCTATCCGTCTCATCAAATTTCCCTTGTTATTTGAACCGATCGATTCATCGGTTCAACCGATTGAACCGGTCAAACCAGAAACCAGACCTGAAAACGGTTCAATGATCGGTCTGGTTTTAAAAACCTTGCAATAAGCATAAATAAAAAGTTAAGGGGCTAACTTGATTAAATTCGAAAGATGGAGGACTGATTTGATTAAATTTAAAACATGAAGGACTGATTTGAAAAGAGTTGAGACCCATTGACTAAATTGCTTAATTATAAAAGCTTCGGGTGAAATTGAAATAAAAGGAGATACTTTTTGACCTTTTGAAAGGATGAGTAAGATAAAGAATTGAAAGTCAATTAATCATGATAATCAATTTAATTAAATGATTAATTTAACATTAATTAAAGTTAATTAAAATTAATTAATCATATTCATTAATCTTTAATCAAGATAATTAAATGAATCTAATTATCTTAAATTAAAACCAATAAACATAATTAATTTACTTTAATTAAAATTAATTAATTTCACTAATCACACATTAAACTAATTACCATAATCAATTAATCATTTTTATTTACACATTTTTTAGTTTTAGTTTTTTTCTTTTTTCTTTTTTTAGGTTTGGATCGGGTCAACTTGGCCCAGAAACACAAAACCATTCACCAAAATATGCAAAAACAGATCAAACAAGATAGAAATAGAATCATGGACAGCAACAAAAATGAAATTTAGGGTTCATTTCAACTGCGTCTCATGTCCAACAAAAAGATAAACAATATTCATCAGGAAAATAAACTGGACATTTTTTTTTTATTTTTCATTGATTTTTAGTAAACACATACAAATTTAAACATCCTAAAAGCAAATCACAGAACAGGAAGTGAAAAGAAACAAGCATGGTAGAGCTTTCTAGGTAGCAGATCGGAGTCCAATCTAGAGAATCCCACCCACGAGATCAAGCCCAGATCATTTCCTTCACTGCCTCCCCAAAAAGACTCCTCTATTACAGGAAAACACCTAGAAAAAGAGGCTGAAATATTGCCGAAATCTCGTCGGTTTCTCTCCTTTCTCCCGAAACCCAAAACAATGAAGAGCCCCTTTCTCCTCCTCGAAGTCTCCCTTTACTACTCTCAAAAACCAGAGGGAGACTCCCAAATCAGACTCGAAAATAAAAAAAAGACCCCTTCTTACTCTGCTTTTTGCTCCATATATATACCCAAATAATAAAATAAAATAAAATGAAATAAATAAAAAAAAAAAAGTCTTGCTCAGTCAATCACTGATGATGCCAATTTTGTCTGGTATTGCTGTTTTGTTTTGTAGGTGAGGCAGGGGCGTGGCTGTAGCAAGTAGGATTGCAGGCTTGGTGCAGAGGCGCAGGGCTGTTGCAGGGGGTAGGGCGCGGTGTGCAAGGGGCATGATTGCCGGCAGTGGGGCATAAAGGAGAGGGGCACAGGCTTGGTGTGGAGAGGGGCACAGGCTTGGTGTAGAGGGGGTATGATTGTCGGTGATGGCTGGCGTAAAGTGCAGGCGATCTGGGCGCAAAAGGCATGGGATCCGAGAGCAGAGGTGCAGGACTGGTTTGCGTGAGCAAAGGGGGCGTGGAGCAGGGCTGGTTCGTGGTGAGCAAAAGGGGCGCGGAGCAGGGCTTGTTTGCGGTGAGCAAGGCTCGGGTGTGTGGGGAAGAAGGTTTTGGAGAGCAAAATATTTA